CAACAACCCTACAAAGTAGGCCAGGCTGAGAGTACACGATTGCCCAGGAAGCCGCAGGTACAGCCATCACAGTCAAATACTTCACGGCACTGCAAGCCAGGCATCCATCAGCCAAATCAAACATTGTCAAATATTTAGAACTCATGCATCTCAAGTGGAGAAAAACAAACACTTCAGGTATGCTCTTACGCAAGTTTAAGAGAGAAAAAAGGGCTAAAACTCCCAGAATGCCCCAGCTGGGGCATGCTGGACAGGGCAAGCCTTTTTTCTCTCTGATGAATAAAATGTTGCCTGGAATCTCCCTGTCTGCAAGAGATTCAAAGAAAGAGCTCTTGTAAAGGCCGTGTTGCATAGTGGTTAGAGCACCGGTGCCCTGACCACGTTTGGACAGCGCCTGAGAGCTGCTCCTGGGCAGCGGTGGGCCTTCAACGCTGGCAAAGGAAGAGGAACGGGGCACTGCCCCGCGGATGGTGGATCCACCTGGCTCAGCGACAAGGCTGAAAGAGGCGCCGCCACCCCTCGCTGGGAGGCCCTGCAGGTTTGCTGGCTTCAGCATTTTGATAAGCTCCCCCCACACCTTCGCCCCACTGCCGCCAAGAGTCTGTATCTCTAATGAGACTGCATTCCTGGACAGACGCCCTCGGGGAGAACGGGCCGGGTGGAAGCCGTCTGCCAGACTCCGCAGAGAGAAGAGCAGCGAGGGGCGCCCGAAAGGGAGGTGCAGCCGGGGACAGGCAGAACACCTGGCTCTTCATTTGCAAGGGCGCTCTGCACGCACCCAGAGAGTCTTCAGCAGGGTCTGGCTGTGAGTCAGTCGCTCTGCACTCCTTGTTCTGCTGAAGGTGAGATCCTAGCAGCCGGGAGATGCTGGGCATCAAATGTGGCACCTCTGTTGCCCTCCCACACCCCACCCTGAGCAATAATGCTTCCCCCCCACACCCCACCCTGAGCAATAATGCTTCCTCCAGCAATAATGCTTCCCCCCACACCCCACCCTGAGCAATAATGCTTCCTCCAGGGGCGTCCCCACTGCTGGAGCCCACTTCTGTTTTGGAGAAGTTTGGGGGGCTGATCAAACTTGAAGCGATTTCTCCCAGCCAGGAAGCCTCGGGAGAAGCAGTCCAGCTTTTTAAAAGGGGTAAGGTGGAAAGCAGGGACCGCACAAAAGCTGGGAAACCGACTGGCCGACAAGGGGAAGGGGCAGAGCCGGGGGAAGAGGGCAAGCCCGGCTGCAGGCTGAACCCCCATGAAGGCAACCACAGAAGAGGAGGGCATAAAAGTGTACAAAAAGCCACGCTGGGGCAGATTGCGGTCCATCTTGTCTAGCATTACCATGGCCAACTTACTGCCCGCAGGAGCCCGCGAGGAAGCAACGGCACCCTCCTACCCATGATCCCCAGCAACTAGGGCACATAGGTGCACTGCCTCGAAGGGTGGAGGTGGCACTGGGACCTTACACTCCAGGACGTGTTCTTCAGAACAAATCCCAGGGAGATGCGTCCATCCCTGCATCTTCCAATAGCAAATTCCATGGTTTTAAACCCTTGGGTTGTGTGAACACGTCCTTGCTTTTATCAGTCCCAGAGCTCCCCAAGGGTGACCCATTGGGGCTCATAGAATCCTAGGACGGCCGGAAGGGTCTAGAAGGCCATCAGGTCCAATCCTGCTCAGTGCAGGAGCTGAACCTCCCATCCAAGGACTAGCCAGGCCTGACCCCACTTAGCTTAGGCAGGGCCAGACACTTGGCAGAGAGGTCAGGGGGGAAGATAACTTCCCCTCCAGTTGGTACAGTTTCACACACCTTCATCCTGCCCTCCCTCCCTCACCTGTTTCTAAGCCCCCTCGACTTTTGCAGCCTTTCCTCTTAGGGAAGTTGCTCCAAAACTGGACCATTTTGTTTGCCTTTCTCCGCACTTTCTCCAACTCGGTAACATCCCTTTTCTAAGGTACAGTGACCAAAACTATGCACTCTATAAAAATGCATCGAGATTTCATTATTTCTAAACTGCCTTTCTCTGCACTTGGTTCTCACAAGGGAAGGAATACACTTCTGCAACTCTGTTGTAACAAAACCATCCACTCAAAACCCTGTGCCATCTCTTTTTCAAACGAACCATCTCCATTAACCCAGAGAAAAGCCCTTAATCCAATGCAAGTGGATCAAGACTTTTCGTAAGAAATGCAGTTCTTCAGCAGTAGTTACCGGCAGAGGGAATTCCACAAACCGGGCCACAATCAAAACAGCCATGCAGTCAACAGTCTGGATTACATGGGCTCAGACGCTGACCGTAAAGTCTACCTAGACTCATTCCCTTCGGCAGAATTCCAAAAAACAACGGAAAGGTGAGGAGGACGGGCCAATCTCTCCAAACCAGGAAAATCCAGGCAAGGAAGAACAGGATTACACATTTCGTTTCCCCGACGCTGACAAGCAGCGATGACTGTACCACTCAGCACAATGGGTCAGTCCCTTTCTATTCTCTGGACCCCCACGAAGAATTCCCTGTCCTAATCCTGCCAACTTCTCCTTCAGCAATGTCCTAATCGTGGCCGGATGCAAAGGAAGCCAGATGCTTCCTGCTGAATCCCGCCTCGATTCTTCCAAACAGATGAATTTCGCTGGTTTCCTTTGAGACCGATTCCCAGAACCAGGCAGAGCGACGGAGGGGAGGGAAAGCACGGCTGTGCACAGAGACCTCAGGGGGGCTCACTGCAGGGCACCCCTTAGGTCACTTCTTAGCCGTGCCCCCTTGGCACCCGCAGACCTCGATACCGCTGCGCAGAACTGCACCTGGCACAGTTTTTAATCCCACTTTCCAGACAATTATAGCTTTCCGAAGTGGCTCCCATGGATCAAAAGACTGAGAGGGAGGGAGGGAGACAGAGAGACTCTGCCACCCAGATTAGAGACTGGGTGGACAAGAGACAAAAGGGGAAGAGCAGCTTTGCAGGGCCAGGACGAGGAGGTGAGCTGGAAGCCGGAGCGGTTCGAATCCCAGACTGGGCCGTGGCAAGATTCAGATCCCCTCCGTCACTGGGTGGCTGGGCCACTCGCTGGCTCTCGACCTGACCTACCTCACAGGGTTGCTGGAGAGGAGAACAGGGACCATACGTCTACCCTGCGTTCCCTTGGAGTAATGAAGGCAGTTTTATCATTGTGACAACTCATGATCGTTTTAATCGCTTTTGAGGTCCTTGCTGGGATCCCTACCCAAATATTTATTATTTATTTAAAAGTTTTCTATACCGTCCCATACTTAGACATCTCAGGAAGGTTTACGGCCAAGTAATACTAAAGGAGAAACAGGGAATAACAGTTGCCCAGGATCCAATGTTAAAATATAAACCCACTGAATAAAACAAGTTAACCGTTAAAATACTGGGAGAATAAAAAGGGTTTCTCCTGATGCCGAAAGAAGAGTTGGCGCCAGGCAGACCTCTCTGGGGACCATGTTCCACAATCGGGGTGCGGTTTTGGTTTCCCCACATCTGCAGCCACAGGACTATAAATGGATTGGAGGCAAGAGGCCTTCCTGGCCAGGACGGGGGAGCCATCTCCCTTCGGATTCTCCTTCTCGGGCGCTGGTGACCCCTTGGCTTGATGCTACCACCGGGATGCAGCGGGTGGGCGCCCCGGGGCCCTGGGACCCCAGGCTGGAAAAAAACGGATTGCTCACCAGGGCACGGCCCTGGAAGTCCTCCTGCCGCCCTTGGCGGGAAGCCGGCCTCACTTGCCGCTTGCCAGCCCGCCAGCCCGACGCATCCATGGGGAAGGTCCAAGGGGCGAGTTCTCAGCACCCGCTTCGGCCTCACTCCGGAAGGCAGAGGCCAGGCAACGAGGAAGCCGCCTGGAGGCGGTGCCAGGGGACTCACGTGGGGCTGGGGAGAACAAGGGGTGCCCCACCTTTTCTCCTCCGGCGAGCAAAACTTGGCACCAGGAGGTGTGCCGTGGGGGCTGAGCGCATGACATGGGAACAGAGGAAACGGGATCTGTTCTGTCTGCTGGCAACGATTCTCCCAGGGTTTTCTCACCACCCTCAGGGTGTTGAACCCGGGGCTCTGCCTTTGCTCACCCCCTTGGCCGTTTAATATATTATTACAGACCAGCTTTATTCCTGCAAATAACTCAAGGCAACTTGCATGCTCCTGCTCTTCATTTTATCCTCACAGCAACCCTGCAAGGTAGGTTAGGCTGAGAGTCAGTGACTGGCCTATGTTCACCCCTGGGTCTCCCAAGTCCCAGTCCAAAGCACTAACCACTACGCCATTCCCAGGGAACGGGGCAAAATAGACCAAATTCGAGGTTCATAAAATAATGAACCATGTGTTCCCCTGCTCTTCTCCCAATTTCGTAATATCAGACATGAGCATCACTTGTAAATTGCAATGAACTCAGAAGAGACCAAAGGACAAACACACAAAAGAGATATCTTGGCACAAGGCTTGATGAACTTATGGAACTCTCTGCCACAGGATGCAATAGATACAGCCAGCAGTTGGGTGCCCCCTTTGCCTACATCCCTAGCCAACTCTTAGGTAGGAAAGGGTCGCTGAGCTGATTTTCCAGTTTGTTACTTAAGTCGCTGTTGACAGTTTGAACTCTGGTTTATTTTCTTGGCTGGTTTATACCCCTGGACTGGTTGGTTTTATCTGCATTTTAATGGGTTGGCTTTGCATCGTATTTGTATCAAGTGGGGGTGCATATAAATGCATATTTGGACAGAAAAAGTACTAGTATAGGAGTTGGGAACCACGAGGCTTTTTCCTAGTTTTTTCTATTGGGCCCAGTCATTCATGTTTGCGTCTTTAGACCTTCATCTGCATTTAATTATATTACTGTTCTGTTCTTTTAAGAATGGCACCGACAGCTTGTTTTTACAGACACCTACTGTATATATACATACAAATAAACATTACAACAACAGAAACTTCTATTCAAGCCAAGCTCAATGTGGGGTCACGCTTTTAATTCCTAAGAACAAGAAAAGTTGCACACTTACCCCTGAAGTGTAAAACGCCGACTCCCGAGAGCGGTTTGGTTGCGTCCCGTCCCCAAATGCATCGCACCTGGTCGCACTCTAGGCATGCTCAGTGGCACGCTTTCACGCCTGCTTTCCTGAGCGCCAGGAGGCTAAAACCTTGACCTAGAAAATAAAATACGAGGGACCCAACGACTCCAGCAGGACTGCAAAGTTTGCAGGCTGCGAGGGGCCGGAAAACCGCAAGCCGGGACAGGTGCCCCTTTCCGTGAGAGGAAAAGGGACAATAACTACAACTCCCAAGGTGCATCTCGGCGCTCTGTCGGCGCTTTTGGCTCAGAGGGGACGGTGATTGGAGGAGGGGTGTTGACGTCACCAGACGCGCGACTCGAGGCCAGCGCAAGGTAAAGCTGCAATCCAGGAGCCGGAGAGGGTTTGCTGGATCGTGGACTTGTAAGGATGGCAGAGAAGGCTGGGTGCGGGGGGTGCCGGGGGTTGCATTGGAAGGCGGGTACGGTGTGGGGAGAAATGGGGAATGGGGGCAGAGAGTTAGGAAGAGTTTGGAAAAAGGGGTGGGGGAGATACTCCCGTTTTTAGCGTTGATTTTTTTTTCTCCATCTAAAGTGTCACAGTGGAATACAAGGTTAATGTTAACGTTGCATTCATACGCAAGCTCCACAGCAAATAACATCCAGACCTTAGAATTATATTTTTGATTTTTTTAAAGTGGTGGTGTCAGTGACCTAAAACCCAGCTGTAGAATTGCAGGGGATGTTGGGAGAGGTTTGTTTGTTTAAAAAACACGTTGCACAGTGGAATAAAATGTTAAGTGTTAGAATCACATGCACCCCCAAGTTGCATAGCCAAATAAAATCCAGATCCAGACATCACGTTGAGTAAGGCAGTCTCACTCACTGGCTACAGCGGCTTAATGCAGTTGTGTGGATACTGGGGTTCTCTTAGCTCCAACTTCCTTCTGCCCTGCAGATCCAGCCGGTGGTGCCACCATGACGAAACTCCTGCGATGGCTGTTGACTCTCGCCCTCCTAAGCACCACCTGGGCAACTCTCGCTCTGGACCTTTTGGGGCTGGATTTGCTGCCCCCAACCTGGTACCAGGTCCTCTGGCCGCTCCCCATCTACCTGCTCGTGACCTTTGGCTGCTATGCCCTGGGGATCATTGGGTATCGCCTGGCCACCTTCAACGACTGTGAAGAGGCATCACAGGAGCTCCAAGCCCAGATCCGAGAGGCCCGGGATGACCTCACTCGGCATGGACTGAAGTTCTGAACTGGCCTGCTGCGGGACTGGGCACCACGGCCCAGCCAGAAAGACATGCCATCCGGACCAATAAAAAGGCCCAAAGAATAGGAGACTTGACCTTGCAGCTGGCTTCCCCCCATCCAGTTCATTTGTATGCTGCTTCTTTGGAAGGACTTCTGCCCCGAACAGCGACCAAGAAATATTTTTTAAAAATAAAAGGTTAAATAAATAAGCCATCCTCAGGTCAGAGGCTGGTGGTGCTCTCTCTGAGTTTGTTTCTCATGAATGATTTTTTCCTGGGAATTGGAACTAAGGACATCAGAATAGCACGGGAAGCTCACAAGCACTTCTGGGGTACAAAAGCACCCTCCTACCCATGCTCCCCAGTAACTGGTGTACAAAGGCATTCTGCTCTGGCACAGAAGGGAGCCTATCACCATGAGGACTAGTGGCCATGGAGAGCCTTCTCCTGGAATGCATCCTATCCCCGTTTAAAGCTCCCCCAATTGCTGCCTATGGCAACATTTTAGGGACCTTAATCCCATAGTTTGACTATGTTCTGCAGGCAAAGGCCCCAATCCTTTATCCACACTCACCTGAGAGTAAAGTGAGTAAGCATGCATAGGATGCATGCATGGAGAATAATAAACTTTTCCTTTGTGCAGGATGGCCAGTCCTGGTTTTCTTTACCCCAACATCTCATTTTAAAGCTATTTTTGAACATCTCAGGGATATAGACCAGAACTGCCTTCCCCATTCTGAGATCCAGTGTGGCGGCTGCGGTGTGAGGGCGGGACTCCGGGCTCTACTCCTCGCTCTGCCACGGAACTCCCTGGTTGACTCTCAGCCCGGCCTACCACATACGGCTGTTGTGAAGATAAAAGGCAGCAGAGGAAGGCTCTGTAAGCTGTCTCGGCTCCCTTGTAGGAGGAAAAATGATGGGATAGAAGTGTGACAAATCTGGCAACCCCAAGGAGCGTTGGATGACTAGTTCCAAGCATCCCGGTCAGTACAGCCAGGCACACCTGTTGGGGAACGATGAGGAATAGAAGATCAGGAATAAAACCTGATGTTTATGAGGAATAAAACATCACCTAGTGAATGATGAAGAGTGTCTCCACTCTAGTTGTAGTTTCCCCACCTTCTTCAGTCTCTTGGTCACACTCCACTGTAACCAAGAAGCTGAGCCCAGTGCGGTTACCTGGGCTGCGATTTTGTCCACCTTTATATGGCTCCTCTTTCGTCTGTTTTTAAAACAGGTTCGCTACCTAACATCTCAAGCCACAGCAGCTCCATGCAGCATACAAACTTCCCCAATGTGATGCTCTCTAGATATATTGGGCCACAACTCTTCATCTTTACTGCTGGGGATGATTGGAGGTGTAGTCCTACACATCCAGAAGTAGCACTTCAGGGAAGGCGGCAAGACTGGCTGGAATGTCGATTCGTTCTTTGTAATGCTGTTGCAATTCCCTTCCAAGGCATGATCTTATTTTTTTAAGGAGTGGAAATTCCCAAAATAATGAATGCTGTAGCTTTTCATGGATTTCTCCTGTACGCACAGCCCTGCTCCTTTCCCCCTGCAGCCTGTATAAATGGGACATTTGCCTTTGCTTTTGCCACGATAGCCAGTTTGCTCTATTCCCCTAAACAGGGTCGTTTTCAAGCTCCTCAAACTCCCACTCGGCTGGAGTGTGCCAAGAATTCGGGTCCAACACGCCAGGCTAAGGAAGTCCGTTTGGATCAGCACAATCCCAGCTGCAACCTTGTCCAATGGATTTGTAAGTGCCGTCAGATCTGCTGAGATGTGTCGGAACTGGCTGGAATTAGCTGGAGATTAAAGAGATGCACTTCACGTAGGCCCAGAACACTTCCTTTCACTGTATGTTCTTGGGAGTGTGTCCTGACGTATCTGACATGCCAGGCCCAATTGCTGGCAGCAATCGACAGCCAGTGATTCCCATGAGCCTGTAGGGCAGGGAGGTGCTGAAAGCATTTCTGGCGAGGAATTCCTTGGAATTGGATCTAAAGGAGATGGCGCAGTGCTTGGCCCATTTCCAACAGGCTCTGGATGCTTGCAAGGCCTGCAAAAAGATTTCTGCGGTGAAATCTCCTTGGAGGGCAAGAAAAAAGGAGACCAACGAACAGAAAACCTTTGTGCCTAAAAGGCAGATTGCGAGCTTTCATCCCACATGATGAAACCAACAGGGTGGTTGAGTCAGGAATGCCAGCTTTCTCAAAATAATGCATGGCATTTGAACTAATTATCCACCAGAACGTTCCCAGCATCCTCACTCAGCACGGCTGGCTGGGGCATGCTGGGAGTTGTCCTGGTTGGGGCATGCTGGGAGTTGACGGGCTTTTTTCTGGCTGGGGTATGCTGGGAAATGACACTGTTTCCATTGAACAGACACAGCAGTGTGAAGCAAAGCATTATTCTTGATGGCTGGTTTGTGGCACATTTCTGCCCAGGATGTCTGAACAAACCTTTTCCCACAAGTAGACAGAACTTCTCTAGCCTGGCCAGATGGGCGCTGGGTTGCTGAACATTTGGGCGCTTCCAGATGGCCACCTACACCTACCTGTACGATATTACACAATCACTTATTACACTATCACTTACCAGATTTTCCATGGCCAGAAGTAACGAGGCAGTAAGAAAACACAAGAGTTATAGTGGAAATCGCCACTCTTCGGAGCCCCTGCATAAGACAGGGAGATCAAACAATTGAAGCCTTCATTTAATTATTTTGTACTTTAATTATTTTAAGCAGGAAATAGGAAAACCCAACTCAGGGAAGCCCAGATGAGGCTGGCAAATAGAAAAAAATACCCTCTATGCCCACAGGCCACACAGTAACATTTAAGGTTATGTGGTTGTTTTTAATGTGCCAGCTTTTATTGCTCTCGGTTTAAAATCCAGCGTTGATTTAAGGAGAGCGCAGAGCCGAGCCTCCGGGGCCAAAATCTTCCCGGGATTTCCAGAAGACCACATCCCTTTCCATTGGTCCTATCCAATCTCTTCCCCACTACAATCCCCTCCCATTGATGATTTCCCAATTTTTGGATGTCGCCCTACACCAAGCCCACCTCATTCCAGACTCTGGAAGTGCCTGTCCCGAGTCTTAATTACTGGCAATAGGAATTTAAGTTAAAATTTACAAGTAGTTTAGCCTTTGGCTCCACATACAATTGTCACATGGCCCCTGAGAGAGGTCTACATCCCTTTGTACATATTTCAGGGCCCACGCCTCAATTTCTGTTTGTTTTAGCATTTTAATTACCATTATGGTGCCATTTATATGTCTAAGCCACTCTGGAGGCTTCTTCCAAGAAAAAAATCAGCAGAGCTGAAACATCCTGGGTTTAGCTGAACCCCTGCCCCCAAACCCTGATGTGACAGACAAACTGTAAGGCCAGGCTTGCTCCATGAGCAACTTTGGAGGCATTTGGCCACTCACGCTGAAAACAGGACTGGGGGCTGGTTGGGGTTTTCTTCTATACCTACCGATCACCACATTCAAAGAAAAAGGAGATGGGGGCGGGGGGGAATCTAAGAAAACCAATCAAGTCTTCTCTTCGCCTTTCCGTCTTCCTTCCGTCCGTCCGTCCTTCCTTCTTTCTTTGTTTTGGACATTCAACCCATAAAAGAGTCAACTCCAGCCTGCAATGCCAGTTAATCAAGCCTCCCCATCTATCTCAGGGCACTAAATTTTGGGATACCTAAAGATAATCTTTAAGATCGGAACTGCACAGAACCACAGAACGTTCTGCTCCGTGTGTGTCAAACAAACTGGGACTTGTCCCAATCCACCCAGGCAGCTGTGCCAGGCCTGCCCCGTTCCAAAAGCCAGGATTCACTCCAGTTCTTTTTAATTAACACCTGCACTGTTGGCGTGGCAAGGTGAGGAGCTGGATAATTAGCAGGGGCGAACTAATGAGCTGTTTCCGGAGAGGGATCAGTGACTTCGAGGACAGGAGGGTGTGGTACCATTTCCCTAGAGCAGAGGCCTTGATTTAAGTTTAAAAACTAAAAAATCAGAGCTTACGCTTGGCTTAGAATCTTGGCTCCTTCGTCCAAAGAACTCAGGATGGGGGGACTGCGTACTGTGAGGTCCCACTCTGGGCTGGAAACAGACTCCGCAAACAAAGTTTCCGCACACGCTCTAACTCCCTCCTAGAAGCCAGGCTGGCGATCTTGATAGGAGGGTGGGAAAATCTGATCGGCATGTCCTCTCGCAGGTTGGAATTAACGTGATGCTCTTGCGGAAGAGGAGCAGACAGCTGCAAGCAAAAATGGCTACCCATTTTTATCTACCCATTTATATTTATATCTATATTTATCTACCCATTCCACACAGTGGGGATCACAACCAAACAAGGCTGACACCTGAGTGTTGTGCTTATGAAGGTCTAGAAGCAACCTGGCTTGAAACAGAAGGCTGGATATAAACCAAGTCTGATCCAGCAGAAAAGGCCCTTCCTGTAAGCAAAGGGAAGGGCCTTTTCAGTGATGGTACCCCATTTATGGAATCAATTTTCCGGGGAGGTGCGTCCAGCACTGACACTTTATACATTTTGGAATGAGGTGAAACCCTTTTTATTCTCCCGTTAATTGCTGACTAGACATGTGTTTTAAACTGTTTTTTATTATAATGATTGTACGAGTAGTTCACTATGTTATTATCTATTTTGTGTTACTGTTGTTCAGCTTGTTTTGCTCGTATTTGTGTACAGGTTTTGGCTCCTGGTGTGTTGTTTTAATGTTTACCTCTCTGTAAACCCATCCTAAGAGGACTGTGCTGAGGGAACCAAAGATAAACATTTGTAATAAATAAATCACTCGCGCAGAAGAGGCCGATCTGAAGCAGAAACTTCCAGAAACTGTGTGTGCTTAAAAAGAAAAGAGCCTCCATACTGGGGAAGGGTGCGAAAGACAAGCAAAAAGCAGCCTGGAGAGGAAAGACCCGGCCTGCTCACAAGCGAAGAAGGATAAAAAGTGGAATGGAGCGCCTCGAAAGAGGAAGCGGGAAGCACATCTGAGATCGTTTTGTGGCGGGGCCTCCAAAAACACCCAGCAGGCCTCCTGAAGCCCTGGCGTGAAGAAGGGGTGCCGAACCTTTCTGATTGAGGGCCGAACTGTAGGAAAGGGTGTGGGGCTAGGGGAAGACCGTGTGGCATGTGAGGAAACCTGAGAGGGCCAGAGCGAGGCCCTCTAAGGGCCGGATGTGGCCCCCAGGAGAGCAGGCCTGCCCCTGATTGGCGGGGGAGGGGAGAAATCAAAATGTCTTCCCTTCCATAGAAACCAATCTGTTTATTACAAGGCACTTGACAACCATTGTACCGATGTGGGAATCTGCTCAGAAATGGTGCTGTTGGGTCCGAATGTTTTCTTTTTCAGAGCAGCCTTCCGGGAATGTTCTGGCATTCACCCCACCGAGGGGGAGATGAAGGGAATAGTTGGGGTACACCGAGGGAGGAGGCCGATCGAAAAGAAGGGCGGGAGGTGCTCTGTCTAGTCCACATTCCTCTTGCCGCATTTCATCTTGGGTGTCTGAGAGGAAACCTACACGCCGGGCATCTTTGTCTTCTTCGGAGCATCCTCTGAGGTTCTGGAACAGCCAAGAGGCGGGAACCAGCCGACCGAAGAGGCATTTGCGGTGTCAGGACTGTGTGTGGACACACGACGTCACTGTGCACAGGCGCAGGTGTGCCGTTCGCAGGGAGAGAGATGCTGTCCGCACACCTCCGAGCCCCGGGGTCCGTCCCTTTCTCGGGCTGCCAACGCCAGCAACCAAAGGCCGTCCTCAGGCCTGCAGTGGCTTGTAGCTGCTCTCGCGGCTGGGAGGAAAGCGCCAGAAAAGCCAGAACCGAACAAGGCTTGTGGCAATGCCTGGCATGTTGGGGACCTGGGAAGGGAGACAGTTGGCAGAATCAGTCCAACATGGGTGAAGGGCAAAGAGGAGATGGCCGGTGGGTGGAAAGACGGGAGAGAGAAGTCCATAAATCAATCCCCGGCCGATTGCATAATTTCCTCCCGCTTTGCCCAGGGTGCTTTATGGGCCTCTCTGTTTAATTAATTAAAACCCACAGTGCATGATTTATCAGAGGCTGGGATGGGAAGTGGGCACACTTGCGCATGAAATATCACCCATGTGCAGCGACATGTGCACCAGCTCTTGTGCCAGGCAGGTGAGACATAGAATCATAGAACAGTCAAGTTGGAAGGGGCCCTGAAGGCCATCAGGTCCACCCCCTGCTGTTGCAGGACACCACGTTACACCACCCCACTCAGAGGGCTGCCCAGTTTCTCCTTGAATGTCTCCAGTGTGGGAGCGCCCCCCTCCTCTCCAGGCAGCTGGTCCCACTGCCGTATTGCTCTGACAGTGAGGAAGCTTTTCCTGATATCCAGCCTGAATCTGGGTTGTCGCAACTTGAACTGAGCAGCTGACTGCGACAAAACTCACTGCGATGTACAGGTCCTCCAGCAGCAGGCCGTAAAGTGTCCAGCAGGTGGACGCCAGGAAGGTCGTCACCGTCAGTGGGAAGGAGAGGCATCGTGTCGACCGGCTCTTGATGATCTTGGCCTGTGAAGGGACAGAGAACTGTCCGGTCACGGCTGGGGAGGAGCAACACGAAGTGTTCCCAAGCCCACGCAGGAACAAGACGGACTGAACACTGCTGTGTGCATTCACAAAGAACTTCATCCCTTCTTCTTCTATCCTGCCTCTTTTTTCCTGCAGGGTTGCTATCCTCACAACAGTCTTGCAAAGTATGCTAGGCTAAGAATCCACGGCTGGCCTAACCTCACCCAGGGAGCTTCAGGCCAGAGTCAGGACCCAAGTCTCCCCTTTCCCGGTTCAACACACTCAACTATGATACTGCACTGGCTCAAACTTTTTAATGGATCTATTTTAAATGTGCAGTTTGCTTCACAGTGTCAGAGGACAGGTACCTGCCCAAGGGCTTACAAGAGACCACAATTAACAGCAATCCTAGTTTAGGGTGCAGCGAACATGTGCAAGAGCAGTTAATTGAAAGTGGAAGAAAACCCATTGCTGGCTACTGATCAAAACAGACTGGAGCAGTGTCCAAGGCAGAAGTAACAGCACACGAACTCTCGCACTCACGTCCTGCTTCTCACTTCCCGCGAGGCCATCTGGCAGGCCACCTCAAGAACAGAAGGCTGGCTTTTGGCCTGACTCAGTGCAGGCCTTTCCTTTCTAAGACTTGTCCTTATGGATGCAAAAGGGCGTACAAGGAGAGTGTACAAGCCCACGTCCCCCAGCGTACCTTGCACTCGCGAAACGCCAGCCCAACAAGTTGCACTACGGAAGTCACCCACTATCGGAACTGATTCCGTGTTTCAGAGTATGGGTGCCTCATAAGTCAACAGAGCCATTTCCCTTTTCATCTTAAATAAAAAATCTGCTACTTAACAGCTATCACTTCCGGACGTTTTGGGGCCTTCAGCTATTCTCCAAACAGGAAAAGTCACACGCGTGCAAGCACACGAGTGCCAGTGAGCCAACGTTTCGGATTGCAAGCACCTGTGGTATTTCTTAGGGAGTGGAAGGGACTTGGACTAGACTGGAGAAAGTTGTGCAATAGGAAGAGCCAGGAAATGAAACATAAGATAGGAGCAAACCTCTCCTACACACTGCAATTCCTGATTTAGCTGTAAATTCACAGATTTTGCTCATTTTTAATTGATTTATCCTTCTGATGCTTCCAGATGAATGTCCCAGGGCAGCTGAAATGTTTTACGACTCATGCTTAATCCATGAGTTATTCATGATTTAGTTTCTGTGTAGCCTGAAGTGCCTGATCCCGCCTAATCTTGGATGCTAAGCAGGGTCGGGCCTGGTTGAAATTGGGATGGGTGACTTAAAAGAGACCCACCCAGAGAGCTTCAAGGACAAGCAGTATAGAAATATAATGCAGTAGTAATTTATTTCAGCCATGCTCATCCTGTTGCTCTCTGGATGTGGTGGATTATGACTCCCAGGATCACCAGCCGGCACATCTGGAAAGGTTGGAGAGTCAGTAAATTTTCTTCCTGGTTGGACCAAGTCTGACTCTCTGCATGTTGCTGGGCGAACAACTAGAAGGACACAAGCTGCCTGTCTCCGAATTTTTAACAAACTGTCAAATGGGGTGGGGGGATAGATACATTGCTTTTCTCTTAAAAGAAATATCCAAGGTGGTTGATAAAAGAACCATTTTTGAACAGATTAAAAAGACAAAAATGTCTTTTTAATGTCGCCCAGGGAGTCCCGTGTGGGAGTATTGGGTGCGGTACATAAATTCAAAAAATAAATGAATAAACAGCTGTGAGAAGCCGTCTAAAACACATCTCTAAGGAAACAGAATATAGGAGACAAGCTGATCTAACCACTGCTGGGGTCAATGTTTTCAAGATCAGAAAGGTCAGGATGTTTCACAGGGTCCAAATGGAAACACACTTCGAAATCCCCTTTCAACATCTATATAATATCACACTCTAGAACCTGACTTCAACCTGTGAGTGGAAAAATCAGCTTCGATTTCAATTGCCCAGTTGAGATCGCGTGCTTGAAAACCGAGCCAGCCCGAAGACGAACGAGGCAGGTTGCAACGTACCAGGTCAGCCAACGGCGAGAGGTACATGGTGATCGTAAAGATGCTGCAGAACAACCCCAGGTGGGCAAGGCGCGTGGCGACATCCGGGACGAGCAAGTTGAAGTAGCTGTAACCAGCCAGCAGCACAGCCAGCAAGCAAACAGTCTTCAGCAAAACAGCCCGCTAGACAAGGGGAAAGAAGGCACGGCGTTCATTTGGAAACGTCCAAAGAGATGCTGCTCCAGGGTTTTAGAGGGGGAAATTAAAATCCATATTTGTGTTAAGAACCTCCTTAGCCCAACTCCAAGGTCAATCCAGGGGTAGAGACCAGGACCCCAAATCCAGCTCTCTTGGGGGGGGCAAATATGGCCCCATCTCCTTTCCCCCAAATGCCAAAAGAACAAAATAGCAGTGAAGATGGTAGAAGAAAAAAGTGACCGATTGTTCAAGCCCTGGAGGCTGCATTTAGTTACAGTCCTGAAATGGAAAGCGGCCAAGTCGCAGACGCACCAGTTATGTTCTTCTAAATATTGAGTCTTTCACCCTATTGACGCTTAGGATCCTCCCAAGAAATGGACAGGAGAAAAAATGAACAAGCAATGGTAAAGTCAGCCATTTTTAAAACTATCAAATCAAGCGGTTTATTCAAAACCCCTCCAAGGTTCAGCGAAATACCCCAGTTCCTTTGCATGACTGAATGCAAAGATCTCTTGGTTGAATTCCATCATGAAATTCCAAAAAGGGCAGGGGGTCCCCCAGCGGCCTCCCCATCCAAGTACCAGTCAGACCCACTGACTATGGTTAGTGGAAAGCAGCCAATGTGAAAGAATCGTTGACAAAGTCGGCTTGTTTTCATTAACCATGATGAAAGACAGCTACTATTTAAGGTTCGGATAACACACTTCACTGTGGACCATCTAGAAGCTTTCGTTCTTCTCCAGAGGAGATGCAAAAGAGGAACACACAATCCCAGTAGAAAGTCTGGGCTAACATTAAACATTGTCTTGTTTAAATTGTTTTTATAATTTTATTATGGTGTGAGCCACCCAGAGAACCTATGGCTAATGGAGTGGCATTGAAATCAGATTAAATAACCAACCAGCATTGGTGTCTCAAACATCAGCACCTTTGTAGCTGTTGACACCTTACTTTTAACCCACCAGGTTCCCCGCCCTTCCTGATTTTTCTTTCACTCTTCCAGCCTTTTCTAATTAAAGAAAAAAACTAACCAGAAAGCCTGCAAAGATGCAAACCTTGAGTACTATCTACATGCGGATTCAAAAGTCCATAGCTGGACTTTGGAGTTTGGTCTCCACCCTGCCTCTTGAGCAGGTTCCGGGACTCCTTCCGTCTCTCCATTCGCCTTTTTGGGAAATGGGTGCATCGCAACCAACCCTACCCACGGCGGCAGCCACAACAGGACAGCCGTTTTGTGTGAGGACCCACAATTCTCTCAACTTTCCAAGTGTGCTTGCTGACCTCAAAAGACTGCAACCCGATTCACTCTGCTGCCTGAGCCCAGTCCCTGGGGTCCCTCATGTTTTCTCTCTCTCATCCCAGTGTGTTGAGAATTGGATTTGTGTGTGTGTGTGTGTGTGTGTGTGGTGACACACACACACACACAAACACAGAGAGAGAGAGAGAGAATTTTTTAAATTTATTGTAAGTATGCAAGTACTTCTTCGTTATTTTAAACATACAAACAACAGAACATGCGGTTGTTGTTGACTGTTTTCCGTGTGTGTGTGTGTGTGTACCAGATCTCCTCCCCACATGCTCCCACCGTGCCCTGCAAATGACCCAGAGATAGCGTGCTCAGGGGTGGAGCTGGAACACGGTACAATATTTATCGTCCATCTGAGACACGGCCTGTTGTTGATTCAAGATACCAACCCTTTTGAGTCAACAGCTTCTGAAATGGAGTCCTGAGTGTGCCAGCGAGATGCCAATTCAAACGCCCATTAAAAATCACGTGGCACAAGCTTGCTTGGGGATGTGGCATTCAGGGAAGCAAGTAGGTCACTCCCTGCCATGTAGAAACCTAGCAGCTCAGGTACGGGGCTCTTGCCTTCGGGAATGGGGCCAAGATTTGCATGCGTGGTATAGGCCTGGAAGCTAAATTCTGCTCTTGCCGCCAGGAATGGGGCCAAGATTTGCATGCGTGGTATAGGCCTGGAAGCTAAATTCTGCATGCAGGCACAGAACGTTAAGAGAAGGATGTAGGGAAAGAACTGCTCTGTTCCCAAATACCTATCACTTAGGAGAAATTTTATGGATGCATTATTGCCAGTAATCAGGGTTTGCTTGGTTGTGAGACAAGTGAAAATTCCATAGGCGGATTTACTAGAAAAAGTATTGAAAAGGGTTAAAAACAGAATTATATACCTTCATAGAAATCTACAGAAAGGCCACATTTAGGACATGTACAGTTTGGGTTGAATCCAACTGCAGGTGATTATAGTGCTATAAAAGATGCAGAAAAAAGCCATCTAAAATTATAATGGACGTTAGCAATTTCCACATGAAAGAGGATATACTCATTCGGTCTTGTTACTTGTGGGGGAAAGTGGGGAAAAGATGACACAGGTGGCAAGTGGGGAAGAGATTTATAAAATGAGCCATGGGGCAGAGGTGGAGAGAAAGTTTTTCGCTTACTCCTCCATGCTACTAGAATACTGGTGACATTGACCAAGCAGCTGAAATTGGTCAATTTCATGAAATAAAGTCCGGCTGTTGAAATGGGGAAGTGAAACTGAAATGAAATGGATTGGCAGGTGACTGAAATGACAGAACTCAGAGCCATCCAATGAAATCGATTGGAAATCAACGAAGATACCGAAATGTAAAGAAATTGGTACGTCAGGAAACGAGTCAATTTCAAGAAATGAAATTGATGGGCAGTGATCAGATAGAGACGCAAGAAGTTGATGGGTTTAAAAACAGATCAGCTATTGGCCAAGATACCAAAGAAAAGCCCCCGAGTTCAGAAACAACCTCTGAGCGCCAACTATTCCTGGGGATACCCAGTAAAAAACACTGCCTACCTTCTTTTAAGCCTACCCCCTCCCCGAGCCATGAGGGCTAGAAACTTGATCTTTGGAAAATGAAAAGCCAAGCTTTCACTGGCCACTGTAGGAAAAGAAGGTTTGATTAGACAGCTTGTGCCTGGCTTTGGCCACGGCCCCTACACGCACCTTCTCAGAGCTGAAGTAGAAGTAGACAAGGATATAAAGGGTCTGAAGGGTCACGCCAATCGCGTTGACGACAATGAGGGTGTGATCTCCCTTCAGGAATCCGTAACTCAGCCAACTCAGATTGCTGAGGGAGAAAGAGAAGGGAACGTTTCAGTGTGCGAACCTGAACGAGGACTGTTCGGACCTTCAAAGCACAACTAGCACAGTAAACACCTCGGCAAGACACACAGGCCAATAATGCTGCAACCCGACCAGGCAGTGTCAGGACTGAGAGTTCCCCCAGGGCACCAAGAGTCCATCACGGCTCTGTAGGGTCATCGCCCAAAGCTGGGACACAATGCTCTTCGTCCTCACCATAATGCATGGCTGATGGGAATTGCAGTCGAACCACGTCCAGAGGACTGCATGCTAGACATCGCTGGCCTAACATTATTGGGGGCAAGTTTGTGGGCACCTTAAAAACTTCGTTGTGTTTTTAAAATATTAGGTTTCTAGTCCTCATGGTTACTAAGGCAGGCTTGAAAGAGCTCAGGCAGCACTTGGCAGTGGGGTCAGGGGAATGAATTATCTTTAGCAGCAGCAGTAGTGAAGAACAAAGTATGAATACATGGAAATGGCAGGACATACCGTGCAGCTCCCAAGAGGGTCACAGTCCAGCTTGTGGAACGTTTTATTCAGATTGCAGA